TAAAAATAATAAATGCACAGTAAAGACAATGACTGAATGTGTCGCAAAACTAGACTAAACCCGTATTCTTGTCATGGGAATTACAATGTAAACTCGATCTAAAATATCACGGAAACTAACTGGAATTTTTGCTTATTTTTTTTTTTTTTAATATAAGATATGTGTTATATGCAGGGGCTTAATTTTTGCTTTTTTCAAAAAAGGTAGTTATTAAATTTTTATCGAATTGTAATTTTTTTTTGTTCTTCAATTTTTTAAAATTTCAGACTCTATAAAAAAATGTAAATAAGTACCTAATACGCAAAATACAGGGTGCACCAGAACTCGCGCCCCAGAGAAAATTTTCAAGTAAGGTAAGATACCAGGAACATGAAAAAATCTTTAAAAAAAAATTTGACATTTATTTTTTGACATTTTTATTTAATCATGCTGATGATCTTGTATATGTTTTTTTACTATTATTTAGTAAAGTGACCAAAATTTTGCCAATAAAAGCCACAAATAACATTGAACAGAGTTACAATTTAGGATAGAGCTTCCTTATTTCCTCTTTTAATAGCCTATAGCAAAAAAAAACTTGTAAAATTATTTTTCCAACAGAAATAAATACAGTGAAAGTGCAAACTTTAAACTCTCATAACTTCGAAATTTTTATAGATAATTTTTTTTTAACATTATTTCCATGTTTCTGGTATCTTACCTTATATGGAATTTTTTTCTGGGGCCCGAGTTCTGGCTCACCCTGTATATCTTCAAAATATTAAAAAATGTAAGAATGCCAGCGAATCGGATTAATAATTTTTAAAACTTTTATCTCTTATAAGTTCTCTCTTTTCACTTTTTACATCAGTAGGTACCTTTCTAAGGTAATAAATAAAATTAAAAATAATTATGAAAAATGTAGTAAGTACATTTTTTTTTGCTCATGTCGATTTTGTCAGATAAAAATCTTTATTTTTATAACAGGCAATTTTCAATAGTAATTTGTTTTTGAGTGACGACGTTATCATGACATTTTTAAGAATTGTGAATGAAAAAACAAATTTTTTACGAAATCAATTGTACAAAAACTTGTAAATTAGCTTCCTGCTTATTGTCAAGATGTCAATAAATTGTACTAAATCTGATTACTTCATTTTGTCGGACAATAAGAAATTTTTGAAAAAAATTATTATATAACTGGGTGAAAATTAGTTCAGGTGGGTGAGGGAAACACGGGATGTTTGTCAGAAGAAAAAGAAGTCATAATTTGCAAAACATGTAGATATTATTGTCACAACTCAAATATGATTTTAAACAATCAAAACGTTTTAACAATTATATTAATGATATTAATATTAATTTAATAATAATTGCATATTTAGATAAACAAACAATACTGAGACAGCAATTATAATACAGTGCGACCAAAAAGTCTTTCTATCACGTAGGCGTCCTAATTGGGGACGTATGTCGCATGGCATTTCGTATGCTAGCTAGATGTCAAAAATTATTTAATAATTTAATGTTTTCAAAAATTTTTCCAACATTACTATTGGAGCAGAAATCTAAAAGTTGTTTTAAAGAAAATTGTCAAAATTAACAAAATGTCAAAATAAATGTTTATATAGTTCTAAAATACGATTTGATTGACATGTTTTATGGAATACACTTCTCTTGGCATTTTGTCAATTTTAATATTATTTTGACAAATGCTTCATAATAATTTCTGAATTTAGTAAAATTTCTAATTTAATATTAAAATTAAAAACAACACGAATTTTATAGTTTGTTAAAAATCTCGGACTATTAAATTTTCGCACCCTAATGGTCGCTTGAATTTTAATCTACGACTTTAATTTTAAATTCGAATTTAGTTGGGGCTGAAATAAATAATAAAACAAACAAAAAAAATCGGATTATCGCAAAGCGTTGAAAAACAAAATTGTGGTATCAGTTCAAAAAGTGGCGTACGCTGATTAGACTGATTACCATTTGTGCGCAGTTTCCTGCCCTTGCTAAAATCATTTTGCGCAGGGGCCCTGCTAATACATGTACCACCCTCCAATAATAATAAATATTCAGTAATATAAAAATAAGTACCAATAATAAACACCATTCTTGCGCAGGGGCCATACATTGTTATGTAACCAGGACTGAAAACTTAAATTTTATTTTGTTTTACTAATTTTGATTAGTTACTGAGCGTTTATTATTTTTACTGTGCAAATTGGAATTTTTTACGGAACAAATTACAATAAAATATTCTGGGTGTTTTACTTAGCATTTATTATTTTTACTGTGCAAAAATTAATTAAATACTGATCAGTTATGATTTTATACTGATCAAAATTGAATTGTTATTATTATTATTTTTTTAAATATCGACAAAATTTGATAGTGTGAGTCCTAGACGGGAGCGCGCGGCAAAGCCGCGAGCCCCCTACAATTCCTACTTTCTACGCTAAATTTTGAAATTAAAATAAAAAACGTTATTTCCAGGGTATTTGCCCGGCTAATAGACTTCGGCTGATACCAGGAGTGTACGAAGACACTGGACAGACGAGAGTTTGTTCACCGCAGTTAACAGAAATATCCGGCGATTTTAGCTGTCTTCAAAGACAGGGAAAAAGAAGAAGTTGGCATGTGCAACCAAACCAGGTATGATTTTATTAATAGCCTTCATTAATAATCACATTGCAATTTCTCGGAATGTCAGTCATGCTTCCTTTTCGGTGTTTTTAGTTTTTAGTCACAGATAACGGTCACATTTTTATTTTTATTTTTTCAATTCTTTAAAACTCAAAACCCCTCTTGTGGAAACGTCATCTATTGTGGACCAAGTGATTTAGATGCTAATATTTCTACCCTCGTTAGGAGGGCGTGAGATGATTTAGTGTCCATCTTTTGTTGTGGTTTTTGAATTTCAATCAGCTAAACTCGTCTGTTTACCACGCACACGAGTGGAGGATAATTTTTAAAGCGACTGGTAGTGCAAGTTTCTCGTAATTGCTAAATACGGTATGACTCGTCATGAAGTGGTTCGTAAAACTTGACCAATTTCTCTTTGCGCCGGCTTGTAACAGTTTTATTAGGTGATTGCGAAAGATATGGAAAGAAAAATGACACATAAAGGTGAAAAACATTCGTGTTGACATTAAACAACTTGGGTTTTTCAACAAATGCTGAGGTTTAGAAGAAGGGAAAGTTGAAACAAAGTTGCCAACAATTTTCTCGATAAATATTTATTGTAGAACACTGATCTTTTTTGTATAAGATAGAAAATTAAATTTTGTTTTCAACGGTACCAAACACAAGAGGTTTTCTCCAATAAGTCCGGAGTTATTGCCAATAGACCGCTCCGGGTGCCAAAAATCAACCAAAATTTTTACTTTTTTTTTTAATTGCAGCAACACTGTATCTCAATGAGATAATATTTTGACGTAGACCTATGTAAAATGTTCCCGGGAATCGATTGGTGTCAAAAAACCGCAAAATTCCTAATAGTTTTGAAGTTATAGTTGGATTTATATTTTCCATACTTTTGACTTTATCACAAATTTTCTCGATAACTATTTATCGTAGAATACTGAACTTTTTTTATATGATAGAAAATTTAATTTGCTTTC